CCCAAAAATACTCTCTGACTAGTGCCAACGAACTAGAAAAAGCACTTAATGATTTTTTAGATAGTGTTGACCGGAAATCGGGTGATTTGACTTATCACCTCTTAGCCGAATGAGAAGAAGGTCGCACTTGAGAAGAATTATTTCCAGAACGTCGCGAAGCGTTTTTTGGTTTACGGAAAAATAAAATCCCACCAAGTCTCGAAGTCTGGGCAGATTTGTCGCGTCTTTATAATTACTGAGGTACAGAAAAAAAACGAACCGAACAACTAAGAGAAGAAGCCGAACGTTTATGATCCGAAATTGAGCAAGAAAGTAAACAAATAGTAATTAGTTTAATTGCTAAAAGCAGTGACGAAAAGCAGTTTTCCCCTCGTTACGAAAAGTGGTTAGCCGAATACGAATTGCTGGGTGAAAGTGCCCAGAAGAGCCTCAACGGTTATAGGAGATTAGTCCAAAAAGACTCTGATTCTTTGCGTAAAGGTAGCGAAAGACAGGAAGAAGGGAATAAACAAATTACCGTTTTGGAAGAAAAAGTTCGGGAAAGAATTCTTACCCTCCACGACTGACTAATGGCTTTGGAAAACCAGTTGAGAAACAAAACCAATACAGGAGCCATCATTATCTCGGTTATTATTAGTTTTATACTAATAATTATTGCAATTCTCGTATATCACTACTGATTAAAAGACTCTCTTCCTTTACGCGACGGGGCACCAGTTGGTGGTAAGTTATAACTCTCGAGCTTCTTGCCAACCAAAAACATTAATTTTTCCAGCCGTAACTTTTACGTAGCAAGTAAATAATAATTCGTTGTGCTCTACCAAAATTTCTTGATTTTGGTGATAGTCAGCCGCACTAATTTCTAATTTAAAGGAATTGCGGGTATCTTGCAATGATAACACATAATTATCTGCACCATTTTTTTCAGGTTGGTTATTAATAACCGCATAAATATTAACTGTTGCCTCCTGATTGTTGTATTTTTGTAAGATTTCTAGCGATGATAAGAAAGATAATTCTTCTTTTTGGGCTTGCTCCCGGCAACGAGAAAAATAACTAAGATAACAGCCTAGGGTTTCCCATTCTCGCTGGTTGGTTGTTTTCGTGCTTTCTTGAATCTGGTCGACAGTTGGCAAATATAAAAATGGTAAATCGTTGTTATTGACCGTCGGAATTTTT